GGTCCCCCCCCCAAACCCTCCCAACCCCCTCCTTCCGCACCAGTGGCTGCTGCTGCGTTGTTGAGTTTGAACTCCTCGAACGCCGCATCATCCAGCGGGGGCTGATAGCCCGGGGCCTCCACATCGAGCGGGTCAAAAGACAGTTTTATTTCCAGAAAAGCCACTGTCTTCTTGTCCGTCACTGTGTCCAAACCCTCCTCAAGAGGCTCGTAAACCAAAGACACTGTCGTGTTCCCGCAAGTGTTCTGCTGGTGCAGCCCCCGGTAGCGGCGCTTCAGCTGCTCCGCCAGAGCGATGGCCTGACCAATGGCGTTGCCGGAGGCCTTGATGGTCAGTTGGCGGCGGCGGTGGTCTTCGAGCAGCGCGGCGGCGTAGGCCACGTAGCTGAAGACGCGGCCCATGGCGGTGACGCGGACTTCGTCGCAGCCGAGGGGTTCGCGGGCGGGCCGCACCCGCCGGTACTTCTCCATAAACCCTAATTTAGGGTTTAGGGTTTGCTGCGCCGAGCGGGGGAGGGGGGAGGGCGGCCGCTGCAACGCGCGGCGGCCCGACGCCAGGACAGAGCCGGAAAGGCTCCGGAAAGGAGGAGGAGGATGGTGCTGCTGAGACGCCACGCGAACGCCCAAGACGACGACGCTGCTGCTGCTGCTGCTGCTGCTGCTGCTGCGCTGCTGCTGCTGCTGCTGCGCTGCAGCACACCGTCTTTCGCTTCCCGCCTGCGCTTTTCGTTCGCCCGATGCCCAAACACACCTCTGCTCGCCGCCGCCGCGCGCCCCCAGCCGCCGCCCACGCCCGCCGCCCCGCACCGCCCGGGGTGCTGCTGCTGCATGCCCCTGCTGCTGCTCCGCTGCTGCTGCTGCTGCAGCGCTGCTGCTGCGCCGCTGCAGCGCCGCTGCTGCTGCGCCGCTCCGCACGCTTTCTGCCCCAATTCGCTGTTTACAACGACTCGAAACTCCTGCAGCAACTTCGCTAACGCGCGACGCGCAGAACACGCAGCAGACCCACCACCTCCTCCCCTGCTGCTGCTGCTGCTGCTGCTGCTGCTGCTGCTGCAGCGGCGGCAGCAGCGCGCCCAGTTTCCGCAGTGCAAATACCCCAAACGCTCCCCTTATTTGCTGCTGCGAAGCTGCAGCAAATAAGGCCCAGAAACGCCCGCCCGCAACACGCAGATCTGCTAGACTCGCCTCGCCTCCGCTGCAGCGCAGCAGCAGCGGCGCACGCGCCGCGCTGCTGCTGCTCAACTAATCCTCCCGAAAATAAAGTCCAACTCTGCACTTTTAATTCATATTTCTGCTTTCAAAGCCGCTTTCCACTTTTATTAAAGTGCTCTTCCACTTCCCGCAGACGCCGCGGAGCCGCGCGCAGCGCCGCCGGGTGTGCGTACACCTCAAGTGCCGCGCCGGGTGCGCCGGCTCGCCAACAAGAAACGAAACTCATCACTTTATTTCCTCACTTAAAAGTAAATTAATTCAAGTTTTGTTTCTCCCAAGTTCTGCTGCACTGCGAAGTCTCGCTCCGCCAGCAAGGCCACGCCCCGGGGGTGGCCCGCTGCTGCTGCTGCTGCTGCGTTTAGCAGCTACGCTGCTGCAGCAAGAAGCAGCGAGTGCTGAAACAAAGCGGCTGGAACTATTTGGACGCGCTGCTGCTGCTGCAGTGCGCCCCTGCAGCAGCAGCTGCTGCTGCTGCTGCTGCTGCTGCGCTGCTGCAGCACGTGGGGAGCTTCGAAGTCGCTCAGTTGTTTCTCCGCAGCCGGTGAAGCCCACACGGCGGTGGCCCCTCCAGTGCAGCAAACCCTAAACCCTAAACCCTAAACCCTAAAGCGCTTAAGCTTACCCAACAGCTCTGCAGCAGAACGCCTCAAGTCTCTTACTCTGTCACTTCTGCTATGAAAGTTTTCAAATAAATATGTGTTGGGGCAACAGTAACATCGGAAATAAATCCGAAGAAAAGAAGCAGCAGCAACTGCTACTGCTTTTGCTGCTGCTGAGGCTGTCACTGCTGCTGCTGCTGCTGGCTTTGCTGCCGCCGTTGTTGCTGCTGTTGCTGCGGCGATCACCGCTGTTATGGTTGCTGCAGTTGGTGATCTTGCTGCTGCTGCTGCTGCTGCTGAATCGGAATTCAGGTGTACGTACACCTGGAAGGAGTGCGGAAAATGGTGAACAGAAAGCCCCTCATTTTCCTTTTTTTGTTTTGCGCAAAAAGGCGGAGTTCGAATTGCATTAATGTTTGAGATCTGGAAAGCAATAATTGGAATTAAATGCAAAATAAATAATTGTTGAAAAATAAAAAGTGGAAACAAACCCCGAAAGAAATTCTGCACGCTGCCGAGAAAGCCTTTCTTTCTTTCCTTCATGACCTGGAGAGAATTTTGTTTTTGAATGTTGAAGAGAATTAATTAATTATTATTTTTGAAAGAATTAATTAATTTTTATTTTTGAAAGAATTAATTAATTAATATTTCGTTTTTAAAATTTTTCAAGTTTTGAATTGTGAACTTCCTCACATATTGCAATTCCTCTTCGTCTGCTCTGTAGAAAGACTCTTTCGCCGCCGCTTCCTCCTCTTGCTGATATTTCGAAAAACAAGACGAATTTGAATTAAATTAAATTAAATTAAATTAAATTAAATTAATTCATTTAATTCATTTAATTCGTTTAAATTCCGAAATTAATTCATAAAATGCATTTAATTCGTCAAGTTCTTTCCGACTTGCCTTCGTGAGCACTTTAATCCTCTCCACCTGCAAAACGAAAAGTTGCAAAAGGGAAGAAGGAGGAAAATTGCGTCAAAATAGAATTAAATAAATTAAATTAAACAATTCAATTGAAATTAACTAAATTTAAATGATTTGAAATCATTTTAATTCATTAAAAAGCCCTTTGCTCACGGGATTGTCCATTGCAGCGTCTTGGCCGTTCAGAAGTTTCCTTGCTGAGGAATCAAAAAGCAAAAACAAAAATGCAAAATAAGAAAAGTTCGAAAATAAAAACATTTGATAAAAAGATTGAAAGTTTTAATTCGAATTAAAAGAAACTTTAAATAAAGAAACCAAATGCAGACTTCATTTTATTCAACTTATTCAACTTGTTCAATTCGTCCAGCTTATTCACTTCATTCAATTTATTCAACTTGTTCAATTTATTCATTTTGTTCAATTCTTTCAACTTATTCAATTTATTCAACTTATTTAATTCATGCAATTCATTCAACCCATTCAACTTATTCAGTTTATTCAATTAATTCAATGCATGCAATTTATTCAATTTATTCAGCTCATTCAGTTTATTCAATTTATTTAACGCATGCAATTTATTCAATTTATTCAATTTATTCAATGCATGCAATTTGTTCAATCTATTTAATGCATGCAACTTGTTCAATTTATTTAATGCATGCAACTTGTTCAATTTATTTAATGCATGCAACTTGTTCAATTTATTCAATTAATTCAAATAACTTAATTAAATTCAATCAAGTCCACTTGAGACTTCAACACCTTTGTCTTAATTCTGAATTGAAAGTTGAATTAAAATCTGAAATGAATATTTGTTGAAGACAATAAGATTATTCATTTAATTAAAATGAACAATTAAACTGAATTAACTTTTGAATCAAAAACTAATTCAAATTGGAATAAAGTGTTTATTTGAATTCAACTTGAAGTTCAGACCAGACCATTCAATATTGAATTGAGGACTGCGCTAAAGATTGAATTAAATGTGAAATTGCATGAATAAACTCAATTAAATTCAAAGTAGTTTTAAATTAAATTAAATTAAAATTAATTTAAACTTCAACAAATTGTTCATTTGAATTCAATTCAAAATTCAAGTCTCACCGTCGCTGCCAATCTGCTGGGACTCCACCAGCATTTTCTCGTAGAGTTTGTTGAAGCTCATCATGGGCTGTTGGTGTTGAGTTCAATTCAAGTTAATTTAAATTGAATTTCAATTAAATTGAATTTGAATTAAATTGAATTCAATTTAAATAATATCTCAAAGAAAAGACGAAAGAAAGAAAACTTCAAAGTGCAGCAGCAGCAGCTTTCTCACCTTCGGCGAAATTATTATCAAAGGAGTCTTCTTCGCCGGAGCCCCAGCAGCAAATCCTGCTGCTGCTGCTGCTGCTGCTGCTGCTTCCGGCTCCCCTCCGCCGATCCCTGGGTATTCTGGGGCGAACAAAACTCATTAATGCGGCCTGGAGCAGCAGAAAGTGACCAGTGGTCCAATTCACGAATGTCCAGTTTGATTCCGTTTGCAGTGGCCGCCGGCATGGAAAGCTGCGCAGTGTCAATGGCAGCTTGCGCTCCTTCTCCGCGGGAATGCAAGTGTTGTTTCAGTCTGCAGATTTAAAAATATAAAAGGAAGTTCTAAAAGCAAAATAAATGCCAAAAAGTTGAAATTCTTTCCAGATTCGCCGCTGCTCACTGCGCTATTTGCTGCTGCAGCTCGTTCAACTGTGCGTTCTGCTGCGCGATGATGGAATCCAAAGAGTCGCCTGCAGTTGATAATCCACTTCATGTTCATTCAAAAAAAAAAGAAAAACAAACTGACTTCCGGAAACAAAAGTGCAGCCAGAAAGAAACAGAGCCGCGAAAGCGGCGATACTCCAATTGCAAAATGGCATCTTCTGAGCAGCAAATGCAAAAAGAGGGAAAGCTGCGTTAAATGCGCATGCAATTAGCAGCAGCGCCTCCTCTGTGGGGTTTAAATGCAAATAAAACCCATTAACACTTTTATTTGCAGAAAGGGAAAAAGTCAAACGGCAAAAGAAAAGACTTTCAGTTCGAATCTTAGAAGCAGCAAAGATGCCTATACACCTCAACACACGAAATGAAAAAAGTGGAAACTCTGTCTTTTTGAATTATCGCGTTGAACGCCTCAACAGAAAGTTTAAATAAATATATTTTAGCTAAAAATATTCTTTAAAGTGAGTTTCTTTTTCAGATTCGAAGCTCCATCGCAGCAAGGTTTGATTTGAACATGGTGCTGCAGCTGCAGGGCCATTTTGTTCTCCTTTCAAACTTTTGGTGCAGAAAAAAAGATTTTAAAAATTCTTATTCATCTTTTTGACTGAAAAGCCCCAGCCACGCATGCTGCAGAATCCTTTTTGAGCTTGCAAGACATCAGCTTGCATTTGTTTCATATTAGTGATAAGTACCCTAATATTAAAATTTAAGTACCCCACTATTAAAAGCAAATAGTTGCAGCGTGCGTTGAAAAATAAACACTGGCGCGGACTGTTGATAAATTCTGCTTCAAGATAGCATATCTGAATCTAGATAAAAGAAGGCTCAGCAGCAGCAGCAGCAGCAGCAGCAGCAGCAGCAGCAGCAGCAGCTGGCTTCTTCGAGCTAGTAAGGTTTGTTGCAATTAGGTACTTTTTCATAAAGTCAAATTGTCTAATTGAAAAGCTTGTCATTACTTTTGTTGCAAACATTAAAAGCAGAAAATATGAAAAGTGCCGCGGCCTAACTTGCAATCCTGGCTGCAGCTGAAGTTCCTCCTGCCACATTTGATTGGATAAATTTTTTAATTTTGATTTAATGCTTTCAAATTTATTTAATTACTTCATAATAAACCAAAAATAAAAGAATAAAGAGGAAAATAAAGGAAAGTCGAAGACAAACAGCAATTCTCTAGGGAGTTTCGTCTTCGCCGCAAATGCAACATTTTGCAAATATGCAAATTGCGAAAAGGAAATGCCACTTATTTGTTTTTAGAAACAAAATGGAAGCAAAAATGCAATTTAGAAGAACACAATGCCATTTATTTAAATCTGGAAACGAAATATGAACAAATGTGCAGATTATGAGAACACAATGCCATTTATGCGAATTAAGAAAAATAAAATAAAATATGCAGATAAGAATATCAAAATGCCACTAATTTGAATTTTGAAGCAAAGTGTGACTAATTGTGCTAATAATAAGAGTGTAATGCCACTAATTTGAATTTAAAAGCAAAATTCGATAAAATGAAAACCAGATTTGCATGCAGTTGCATCTTCTGCATGCGAAAAGGAGCAAAACAGAAAAGCCGATTGCAGAAAAGATGAAAAGCTTTTAAATCAATTTGCTTTCTTTAGACGAAACTGGAGAAGGGAGAAAGTAGATTTTGGAAATAAAAACGCGAAGACAAATCCTTTTTGGAAAATATATTTAAAAATAAAAACGCTGAGACAAAATATTTTTCGTTTTGTTTCGTTTTGGCAGCAAAAGAGGCAAAAGTGCATTTCTTTCGGGAAGTTGCAAACGGCCGAAGACGAACATTGCGGAAACGGACTTGAAGGATCCGCGGTGGACTTTATGAAAAGGAATAAACTTTTGGTTTTTTTGCATTAAAAATTCTATTTAAGATTTAAAAGTGCAAATATATATTGCAGATATTGTGCTGCTGGAGTTGAAGGGAAAAACAGCTGGCTGCAGCTGCGGGCGCCACTTGCAAACGACTTAGTTCAGAACTGCTTCCCTAAAGACGGAGTTGTTTGGACTTGAAAGAAATAAAAGACTTTAAATGATTTAATTCGAAAGAAAAGAAACAAAAGGAAGAAGTTTCGTTTTCGAATTTGCACAAGTGAACATTCAAGTTCAAGTTCGTCCACTGCGCGTCGTGCAGGTGTCGAAACCTTTAGCTCGCGATTTCGCATGCATGCATGCAGTTTCGTTTCACTTCAACTCTTCAATTCAATTTAATTAATTAATTAATTTAATTTAATTCATTTAATTCAAGAAATTCCTTCGAAGAAACCTACGCAGCAGGTTGCCTTTTGCAGCGCCACAGCCGCAGCTGCTGAGACCTCCAGGGCCTCCAGAACAATTCAAAAATTTCACCAAGTACTTTCTCACAGTTCAAGTCGAGCGAACAAACTTGTACCTGCAGTTGAATTCAACTTGAATTAACTTGACTTTCTGACTTGAATTAATTTGAATTAATTTGAATTAATTTGAATTAATTTGAATAATTTGAATTAATTTGAATTAAACTTGAATTTCAACTTAACTTGCATTAAGCTTTCACAAGCCGACTCCGGCGATCCCGGGACAAGGGGACGGAAAAGACAAGAAACAAACAGAGAACAAACCGTGTAAAACAAATCCTTAAGAGGCGACGCTGCTGCTGTTGCTGCTGCTGCTGCTGCTGCTGCTGCTGCTGCTGCACCTGCTGCACCTGCTGCTACTACTACTACTACTGCTACCGCTGCTGGCGCTGCTGCTGTCACTCCTGCCACGCCGCTGCTGCCGCCGCCGCCGCTGCTGCCGCTGCTGCTACCGCTGCTGCTGCTGCTGCTGCTGCTGCTGCTGCTGCTGCTACCAGTTTCCGTTCAAGTGGCTGTCGACAGTGCGGGCCATGACGGCGTAGGCGAACAAGTTGGGGGAAGGGACATTGCGGGCGACTCTGCGGGTTTGCTCGGCGAGGCGGTTGGGCAGGCGGCTGAGGAAGTCCGCCGCGAGAGAGTCTTCAGTCCTTTTGACTTCGGAGTTGGTTCTTTCGCAAAGTCGCGCGTAAGAGTCGTGGAGAAGGCCGAGTTCGACGTAGAGTTTGAGGGCCTTGTGGGGGGGGGCCCCGCGGAGTTCGCGGCGCAGGAAAGCCTCGGGGTTGCCCAGGCACAGCAGCCGCAGCATCACCTCCACCAGCGTCCGGTAGTCCCGCTTCCGCCCCGGAAACAGCATTTCCGTGCGCTTTCTGTAAAAGTAACGCACAGTGGCTTCCATTTGGCCTTCGGCGATCTCGAGAAGCTGCTGTTCGCGCCGAAAACGGGCCGCGAAGGCTTCGATCGAGCACAGGAACTTGTCCACCTCCAGGTACGAAACTGGCACGGACTGCAGCCGCCGCAGGTGGGAAAGCGCCTCTTTTTCCGCAGAACTGCTTTCGCAAACACTCAAACTCGCAGACTCGTAAATTCCTTCCGCAAAAAGTCCAGAAGAAAAGGAACTGGCGAGCGCCGACTGCGGCGGCGCGCCCGCGTCCTGGGGTGTACAGGCAGCTCCCGCCCACACCCGCGCCGCCGCCAGCGGCCGATCCAGCAACTGCGGAGCTCCAGTTGCTTCTCTTTCCTTTATATTTCCCATTTGATCATTTAAAAGCATGTGAACTATATGCTGGGTCAGCTGCGGCGCGGGGTCTCGCGCAGCGAACGCGTCGGCTCCCTGCTCGGTGGGGGGAGCCACCGTGGGCGCAGCACTCGCCATATCTTCGAGAAATTAGCCCTAAATCGGCCACAACTCACGCGCTCGCACCTTTGCAAGAAACTCTCTTCTTTAAAAAACAACTCAAGCATTGAAGTGCCAGAAACGCCGCCTCCAACGCGCACCGCAAACAGACCATCGAGGCAACTAGCCCCGGGCAGCCCACGCGCACGGGCGCTGGGCTTCTGCAGCCGCCCTGCACGGCTCCGCGAACCCAACTTCGCACAACTTTTCGCCCCAAAAATCCCCCTTTTCCGCCTTTTTCTTCCTTAATGACCTTTATTTTCATTTATGCAGCCTTTTCAGCCTTTTTTCTCGAAAAAACCCGGCCAGATTCCACAGCCGAGACCTCCCCGGGCAAGGCCGGGCGCCCTGCCGTCAGGCCCCAACGCTGCAGCAGCCTCACCTGCCCGCGGCGAAGTGCAGCAAATGCGGGTTGAATTTGCCGCTCTTTTCGGCTTTTCTCCATTAAAAATGAAATTAATTATTTTTAATTTCATATATTGCACTTATTTGGTCCTTTAGAGGCCTTGTTTAGCTCTCCTCCCGCACGCCTCCGGAGCGCCCGCAGGCGGAGCGGCCCCACAAACCCGTGCCAGTGGCTCTCCCGCTCCCGCGGCTCTTCCGAATCAATAAATTGATTTTCTTTTTATTTTAAACTTTTAAATTTAAAAAAATAAATTAATTCCAAATAAAAATCCTTCAAAACGCCCGCCGTCTCGCCGCGCAGCCCCCGCCGCTGGGAAATCGTGCACAGGCGGCTGCGCAGCCGAAAGCTCAGAAGGCGGAATGAAAGAAAGTAAAAGAAATAAATTAATTTAAAATTAAATTAAATAATATTTTTAATCCTTTTCTTTCTTCCTTTCCCACAAATCCTCCAGAAACCCGCACGCAGCAGCAGCAGCAGCAGCAGCAGCAGCAGCAGCACCAGAGGGAAACCCGTGTTAAGGGCCTGTCCAAGCTGCAGGCAGCCAAACCCTAAACCCTAAGTCCTAAACCCTCAATGCTGAGCCCTGCACACTTAACGCCACGCAAACCCTCGGCGCTAAACCCTAAAATGGGGAGTTCAGAAAATGAGACGCAGAGAGGAATTGCGGAGTTCACTTCAAGTCCAGTGAGGTGTATATACACCTCACTGGGGTGTATATACAGCCAGTAGCCACTTGCAAAGTACAGCACTCAGCTCGAAACGAACTGCAGCGGCTGCTGCTGCTGCTGCTGCGGTGCCGCTACCGCTGCTGTTGCTGCTGCTGTTGCTGCTGCTGCTGTTGCTGCGGTGCGCTACTGCTGTTGCTGCTGCTGCTGCTGTTGCTGGGGTGCCGCTACTGCTGCTGCTGCGGTGCCGCTCCTTCTGCTGCTGCTGCTTCTGCGGTGCCCCTCCTACTGCTGCTGCTGCGCCGTCTTAGCAGCAAGAAATAGAAAAGATGCATGCGATTTGCGAGAGTTAATCCGAATAAGAAATGAAGCAAAGGAGACAAAAGCACATATCTCATGTCTGCTGCCTCCAGGCCATCTTTTGCCGAAGCTCTTTTCTCATTTGTATTGTTTTAATTAATTTAATTAATTAATTTAATTAATTAATTTAATTAATTTAATTAATTAATTTAATTAATTTAATTAATTTGTTTTTCAATTAAAACCAAAACGCATGCAATACACCGCAAAGGCCCGCGCCGCAGCAGGTGTAGCGACAGCGAGGCCGAAACGCCTCCAGTTGCTCTTCAGTAAATGCGCAAATGCAACTAATTAATTAATTAATTAATTGGCAACAAATAAATAAATAAGTAAACTAATTAATTAATTAATTAAATTAATTAATTAATTAATTTAATTGGTTTAATTAATTCGCAAAGAAGGCGCCGCGGCCCCGGCCCCGCTTCGCCGTGGCAGCAGAAGCAGCAGACTTGTTGCCACTTTTGTGTTTAAATGGCATTTTTTGGTTTTAAATGGCATTTTTTGATTTTAAATGGCATTTTTTGGTTTTAAATGGTATTTTTGGAGTTTAAATGGCATTTCTGGGGTTTTAAATGCTATTTTTTGGACTTTAGATGGATGAATCGACCAATAAATGGATTTATTTATTTATTTATCGGCTAAGTTGCGGAGAGCTGTAACGATTTCGTTCTCCAGACTCTTGAAGAAAACCTTGCACTCCTCCTCCGGCTTGAGCGGCGGGAGAAACTTCATACTTGTGATTTTCGAGATTGTGGGCCTCAAAGTGTTATAAATGGTGCCCCAGCCAATTCGGTGTTCACTGCCAGCAGTTTCTGAAAAGAAAAACAAAAAAGATGCAAAAAAAGCAAAAAAATAAAACAAAAATGCAAAAAAATGCAAAAAAATGCAAAAAAAGAAAACTTTTGGCATTTTTGAAGTCCCGGGCGTTCAGGTGTACGTACACCCCAGACGCGGGGACGAAAAGTGGAAAGCCGTTTTCCAACGAAGCAGCTCTTGAAGGCTTTTTAATTTATTATTTTTGGTATTTGTTTGTTTATTTTATTATTATTAATTTATTTTATTGTTTGTTTGGTTGTTTTATCGTTTATTTGTCTGTTTTGCTGTTTGTTCTTTACCCTGCATCACCCTCAGGCACTGGTCGTAGAAGAGGCAAATTGTCTTCATCATCCCCACCGTCTGAAAGAATTAAAAAGAATAAAAACAAAATTAAAAATAAAAATAAAAATAATAATAATAATAATTAAATTTAAATTAATGGTAAAACAAAAACAATAAATAAATCAAATGGATGGACCGAGGTGGAGCAACGCGCAGCACTAATGCATGCACCAATGCATGCACCAATGCATGCATTAGTGCATGCGTTAGTGCATGCATTAATTAATGCATGCATTAATGCATGCATTAATGCATGCATTAGTGCATGCGTTAGTGCATGCATTAATTAATGCATGCATTGGTGCATGCAGTAAATGGACCTTTAAAAAAAATTGAAAACACTCTTCCCAGGAGACAAAAAGGAAACAAAAAAGTTTGGAAACAATTAAGAGACAAAACAGAAAAAAATGACAAAGCGATAATGCAGAAACAGTAAAGAGACAACAAAGGGAAAAAAAGACAAGAAGGAAATAAAGAAGGAGACAAAAAGGAGATTAAAAAGGACAAAACGAAGACAAAAAGGAGACAAAAACGGGACAAACAGGGAGACAAAAAGAGACAAAAAAAACGACAAAAAGAGGGACAAAAAACGACAAAAAGAATCAAAAAAAGGAGACGAAAAGAGCCAAAAAAGGGACAAAAAAGGAGACAAAAAAGCGCCAAAAAAGAGACAAAAAAGGAGACAAAAAGAGCCAAAAAAGAGAAAAAAAGCCAAAAAGAGAATTAAATGATTTAAAAATCGAAAACAAAAAAGACCTTGTGGAGGGGACACATATAATCGTAATCCGAAAAAGCGTTTTGCTGCAGAAAGTCTTCTCTAATGATTTTGGCGACTTCGAGAATGAGTTTTTGGTCCTGCGAATAACAAAAGATTTTTAAATGCAAAAGTTGAAATATTTGGCAAATATTTTAATTAAAAAGACGCAATTTCTTCGCAGATTCTTAAATTCAACAAAATGCAAATCCAGCCGCAAGCAATAAATGCAAAAAGCAGCAAAAACGGATAAAAACAAGCAAATTGCCCCTCAGCAACTGCAGCAGCAGCAGCAGCAGCAGCAGCAGCAGCAGCAAAGCGGCAGCAATGCCTGGCGAATGCGCTCGTTTTGAAGAGAAAAAGAAACTAAAATGCATTTAAATAAAACTAATCTGCAGCAGCGACGGGGAAGAAGGCTCTGTGGCGCAGCAGCAGCAGCAGCAGCAGCAGCAGCATGCAGCAGCAGCAACTTGAGGTGTACGTACACCCCAGCCCACCTGCTGCAAAATGTCACTTATCTTCTGCCGAAGCCCCACAAACTCTTCATCATAAGAATCAAAGAAGGGTTCCAAAAAGCGCAAGTATTTGGAAAAAGAAGAAGTCCAGTTGACTGCAGCAGAAAGAAATAAAAAGACATAAAAAGAGATAAAGTGAAAACACCGAATTAGGGTTTAGGGTTTAGGGTTTCCAGAACAAAAGAGGCTTGCACAAACAAACGAATGTGCACCCGCGCGCCTAAACCCCAAACCCCAAACCCCACCCCCAAACCCTAAACCCTAAACCCTAAACCCTAAACCCTAAACCCCACCCGCACCCCAAACCCTACCCCCCACCCGAACCCCGGAGCCCCTCCAAACCCCAAACCCGAACCCCCGAACGCGCGCCCACCCCAAACCCCAC